CACCCCCCCCCCCCCTCACGTCGTCCGTCCATTTTCTTAAGTGCACATATAACGCCTATTCATTATTTTTCAATTTATTTTCAAGTCCATCTCATGGCTGTATCCTGCGGCTGACAGGCACATTGCGTCTCTGGATTACTTTGGGTGGCCTTACTCAATATTTGCTGCGTCCCTTAGCTACGTGAAGCATAGACAAAAATAATTTGTATTTTCTACCTCAAGTTCTGTAATGAGTAGCCTCTGTGTTGTTTTCATAATTCGATCAATGTCTCTATCTAGTGGGAGAGAAGCAACTGCCAGTTGCTGAAACACACCAGTGGCGGATTCAAATTTCTTATAAAACGCACGTGCACAAGAACATTTTGGTCGGGAAACCCGAAGGGACATAGAAGTAATGGTGTGGACTGGAGCCATATGAATCAGGATAGTGACCAGTGGCGAGTTCTCTTAAACAGAGAAATGAAATTTCAGGTTTCATGTCAGACAGGTAATTGACTGACTGGTTGAGTGACTTCTAGCATCTCTGGAAGTGCTCTCATCCATGAATTTGGTTACAAAGTGCACTAAGTGATTGCATATAGGGGAGGTCGCGTTTGTTCTCATGTTTTACCGAAGAAACTACTGTCAAAATTTTGATGAGATTTGGACACGCCGTCAGTTAAAGAGTTAAAGAAAAGCCTCCAAAATCACAGATTGAAACAATCAGAGAATTTTCAGCAAACGCAGGTAAACCTATTAAAAGCACCCCCCCCCCTCTATTTTAATGATGAATTTTAGGGTTCTGAATGATCAAAATGTGTTTTTATTATGACTCGTAAGTCTAGTGAGATGTATTTATAACCTATCACCATACGAATTTTAAATACGAAGCTATATTAACGAATTATCGGCAACGCACCAAAATAGTTTGCGTCGTGTTGTTATTTTGAATAATCATTCTATGTTCTTTAAGCGTTTCCCGAATGAATTAGCGCTGTTTTCGTAGACTAATCGCTTGCAAAAGACGGGGCATGCGTCTTCAAGCTGTGTATTCGGAGACAGAAGAATAATCCTTTTGCGCTCGACAGGACGGCAGACAGCTCTCATGTGCACCGCGCTCCATCCATCCTCCGCGGTACTGGCTGTTGTTCTGAACGAGCCCTAGCATTAGAGACACGGTCGTAATAAAAAGCTCACCTGTGATTCATGTCATTTGGTGAACTCTGTCCCGCCTGTCTGTCTATCTGTCTGTCTGTCTTACCGAACAGTTGCTAGCTCCTTCAGGAAAATGATTAAGTTTTGTTGCTACCAGTGTCGGCGGGCAGGCAGGAACAGCTACCGAATAAGTAATAATAACACACCCCCCCTTCCCGCCCCGCCATATTCTATGGTTTTAAAATGCTAGGGTATTGTGAAAAGAGCGAAGAGTAATTCTAGGTTAGCTAAGCAGTGGTTAGCTCTCACTTGAAAGGAAGGCAATCAGGATTTCATATTGCAAAGAGTGAGAGAGAGGGGTGAATGTATCTCTCTCTCTGTTAGATAAATCTATCTCTTGTAGAATTCAGTGGTGGCATCGTTCAGTAACTCCGTGATGCAGAAATAATGTGTTTATTGTTTATTTAACGACGCTGGATGTAGCTCAGTCTGCAGGTTGATCTTGTCGAATGGAGCGATAATTATTGAACTGGAAGGTACATGGGACTTAGCGATTTTGGTAATTTGACGTACTAGCCAGGCATTTGCCTGAAGGGACTGAGTAAAACCACGAAAACCCGCAAACATAATAGTCGGACTTAAATTAACTCAGGATAATCAGGAGTGTCAACCACTCGACCGAGTCACTGAAAAGCTTTTAGTTGCATGGGAGGCCGTGGATTAAATTCATTTAAGGAATTCAAGCCATGCACACAGGCCCTGTTTTTTTAGGATCTGTTTTAATATTATATTCTGATACATGCGTGTCTCCAAAGTTTTCTCCTTTCGTCGGTGTATCTGCATTTTCTACCTTCCTCACGTGACACTGCCTCATCGACTTTAATTTGTTCGTCATTTCTTTGTATAAATCAACATTTCTCAGTGCTCATTCGGTCGATGTTTCAACCAGAACGCCTTGGTTCATTTTGTATTTTTCCGATATGTGTTCCGTATACTTTTGCCGCGCTGTTATTAAAGACGACTTTCTTGGTTCTCGTGGTTCGAACTCTCAGGTATACCTTACCGTTAGTAATTTGTGCTGTGGCGATGTATCATCATTTAGATGGAATTGCCGGACACAGTCTTCATCAGTTTGGCTCAAGAACTCTCAGGTGAAACGGGCGTATCCGGTTCAAGGCATTTAGTTACTGAACTCTTACAGAGAAGCCCCCAATTGCAAAACACGTAAAGCTACTGGTCACTCTTACATAGGATGTAAACCCGGACAAGGTAATTAATTTCTGAAGCCCCCCCCCCTATAGTATGTCTCAGTAAACTAAATTGTATATTAATGCAATTTCATAGAAATTGTTTATAGTCTAGCAAAGCTTCAATTAAAGGCTATATATTTAATTATGATTTTCTACACAAGAAATCTCTCTTACATAACGTCTTCCATTTTTATTACTCAGAGTTAATATTCTACGAAATTAATTACGTGTATTGTAAGTTACTGGGTACTAATCTTCGTGTGCTTTTTATTCATATGGCATGAGACACGATTTTGCCTATGGTCCACTATAATAATAAATTATATCCAAATTACACTCTGGTTGTCTTTCTGGTATGTCATAATGGTCATGACCTTTGGCATGAATACTTTAAGTAATGGATTTTTACGCACAAATATCAACTGGTTAATGCTGTTTAATTAAATGATCGCCATAAACACTGAGAATCATACGAAATACATATAAATACAATTTTTTGTAATATTGATTGTTAAATGAGATGGTAAATATAGTTACCACTCGGCTTTAAGGGGTTAATTTTGTCCTACGAACCTAATCCTGTCTCCCAAGGGGTCTTTCCCATTCAGGTTTTCCGGCACCAATGTAGTAACTCCGCTTGATGGACGTCCTTACCGCATTACGTACATTCTCCAAAATGTCTGAACTTATAAAGTTTCCAGTAGCGTCCAGGTACGCCAATTCATCTGCTACATAGGGCGGGAAGAAGCAACATCCGAAACGAATCGGAACATGACGTACATGTGCGTGCCTAGCGATAAACAGAATTCGGATTGGCTTCAACTTTTTTATATTGTGACATTTCTTACGGTCTCCATGGGTTCCTTTGTCGGGACGACTCTGCTGATGAAGAGAATGATACAAGACAGATATAATAATGAAATTTCGGCGTGTTACGTGTGCATTGAAGACACCGAGATTCTGAAGCGCTGCCAGTTATAAAAAGCGACTGCTTTTAACCATTCAGAAACGACAATCCACTTTGATGTTTCTCTTCACTTCTAAGTTAATTTAACAAGGCAAACTGAGCTGTAGATAGATTATCGTACACCGTGTCGGTGGAAGAATGTTTGTGAACTGAGAAGGGTGTGGCAGAAAGGCGTGTTATCTCACTGTTTCACTTCTGGGACCGAGGAAAAAGATGGAAAATAGCCGGCATATCGGTCCTTTGGGTCAGAAATCGAACCTCGGATATCACGAATGCAAATATCTTCTCATCTACATATTCTCTTGTTAAATTGCATCTTCCCTTGAGGTTCTTCGACCAAATTTTTGTAATCTTTATTCATTTTCTTGTGTCTCCATCGTTTACATACCATCTCATTCCATTTGGTGTAATTTACAGTAAAAATTTTAAGCGAAGAATGCAAATTGTAAAGAACGTGATCGTGTAGGCGTGATTTTTATCCTGAGCAGTTGATAATAATCCAGTTATTTGTTTTAAATAGTTAACTCAAAAGTTAATAATTCAATAATAATAATAATATGTGGAGCGTCGCTGTCGTGGAGCATACAAATGGATATTAGGGACATTGATTTTGTGGGTGCAAGGTGGATATAATTATTGTTTCATATGCGGAAAGTCCCCGGTTTGAATACTGAGTCGGAAATTGTCTGTACTGAGATATCTTGTACTCTTCCCTGGGCTGTTCGCTAAAATACTGGGAGAGTATTTTAAAATAGTCTACGAACACTCCCTTTAGCAAAATTAATTTCCATATACAATCATGTTTTACACAATGTATAATCGTTGTTGTTTAGGAAGCATTTGTAAATTAACAACAAACATAGGCTTATTTGCAGAAATTTAGTTTGGATATCATGTCACATGGAATGAAATTTATAATCGTCCTTCAATTCGACATTCCACCGATCAGCCGACAAACAAACTTCGGTCTGGTTAGTCACGCGTGTAAGTTTAACTCTGTATGGACCTGCTGAAATCTACCTGTAGTTGTCAGTCCACGCCGTTGGGACATCCACAGCTTTGGCAGCTGACTGCGCGACGTGGTGACGCGTCCAGGCTGACGCCTGGTGGTGAGAAGCGCAGTGTTGGCCGGGCATGACCCCTGGGGGCGCTGAGGGTGGTCCGGTTTGGTGGTGCGAGTAGCCGGGGAACTGACTGGAGGAGGCCGTGGTGGCGGTAGGACCCGCTCCTGACCCCGGGTCGCTGGCCGCACTCGATGTTCCTGGGTGGTGATATCCAGCTGCAGAATACGCTCCCGCCGCTGCGTAACCGGCCACCGCTACGGCGGCGCTCTGTTGGGCCCAGGAAGCCGTGTGGCCTAACCCAGAAGGCAAAACTTATGAGCAGTTGTCAGATACTCATCTGGTCAGGGCATATCCTATTGTTTTTAAAACTCGAGGATCGTCATTCACCACAAGAAAAAAAGTATTTCTGAGGTATGAGGATCTTACGGCGTTGAAGATGCATTCAGACCTGAAAATGGAGGCAGTATGTTCCTGCGAAATGTTGGTACCTGCCTACAAATCCGCACGGCGTTATCATCCAACATCGACATATTCACAGCAGTGAGAACCTCAAATGTCACAAAGGTATGAAGGATTTAAGGTTTTCACGGCGATGAGTCTGAAGACGGCTGTCATATCACCAAGTTAAATTATGTCCGAAGAGGACGCTAAGATAGTTAAACACTGCAATTTTACACAGTTCTGAATAACACGTATTTGGGCAAAGTGATAATAATGTGTATTTTTTGTTGTAAACCTTTATATTCCAAACTACTCTGTGTCAGTTGATTATAATGTATATTTTCAACAACCCCTTTAAACAATTACTTTAGTGCAGAGGTTCTCAAAGTGTGGGGCGCGGGTGGTTTTCTGGGGAGGGGCGTGTTGTTTGTATGAAAAACTTTTTTAACGAAATATGGAGTAACATTTTTAACATCCTTTGCTTGGTTGAGGCAGTTTAGTTGTCTTACAGTGCTGCATATTCATAGCTAAATTTAATATTAAAATCTGTTTGCTTGCACTTGTTCTGGAAGGGGGGGACGTGAAATTTATGAAATGTTTTAAGGTGGGCGCAAGGTATAAAAGTTTGGGAACCTCTGGCTTAGTGTTTAGCAAAGTATGTTTAAAGATACATCCATACAAGTGTCTGTAATAATCGTAAATCGCCGATAGAATGCGCGCCGAAACACTAGTCTTCACTGACAAAAATCAGCTGATAAGCATACTTCCGTTGCAATCGATAATATTCTCGAACAACTGAATTACGTTTGTGACGTAGGTGATCCATGCTTACAGTGTGATGGTTCCGATGTCTTATAATCGTCAGTTTTGTGATGAAATTAAAAAGATTTTGTGTTTTTAAAATGTGAAATAATATCCATTGATGTGTTAAATTGCTTGTTTTATAATTCCATTATAATATAGACGCAGTGTAAAATGATATGAGGCTGTATCCTGTCTTCCTATCATATTGTAATGGAGGTTAGGGATGGAATATTTTACGCTTAATATAGTGCTGAATAGAAAATTGAGCTATTCAAACTACAGATTTGTTACAATTCCTTTACACATTATTACAGCGATATAATGGCAGGTGTGTAAAAATTTTGCATACGCTTGGGGGGGGGGATGATAAATCATCTGACCCCGTCAGGGATCGAACCCCGGTCGTCCAGTCAGTAGCCAGTCTGACTGACTGAGCTAGGCCAACTTTTTATCAGCAGACAGTATTTGTATTTGAATGTATAATTTTTAAAGGTATATTCTGCAAACATTCTGATATATTTTCATACTCTTCCTGGAAGCCGAACTGTGAAGTATTAGGCCCTACAGTGACGTGCACAATTACTACAAAAGTATGCGTGAGAAGCAAGTTATGATTTTTCACACATATAATATACATATTATATGTGGCCTGTTCTATTTTAATGATTAAATCATTGTCTTTGAAAGTTAATATTAAGGTTATGTGGGTGTTATGAAAATTTCGAACTTTGTAGTTAATAATATATGTTTTTTATTTCCGTCTATACACAAACTTAGTTGTTAAAATTGGTGTTATTAAAGTTAAAATTTAAAACTTAAAATTTGGCGCTCTTCATCGCTATTACGATGTTACAATTTTAGCGCTCATTATTTTATTTCACAACATGTTTCGATACTATCGTATCATCATCAGGTTCTTATCGTTATTTTTATCTTTAAAACTAATGTATAAGAACCTGATGATGATACGATAGTATCGAAACATGTTGTGAAATAAAATAATGAGCGCTAAAATTGTAACATCGTAATAGCGATGAAGAGCGCCAAATTTTAAGTTTTAAATTTTAACTTTAATAACACCAATTTTAACAACTAAGTTTGTGTATAGACGGAAATAAAAAACATATATTACTGAATTAAACAGAAACATGACGCAATTAAACTACAAATTTGTAGTTAATGTTAATTTTCCATTTTCAGGTTATGCAGGTACATCTTTCTTCACTTGGTGAGTGAATGTTTCTTTATTTTCCTCACTTTTTATCTTTCAGGTTTTGGTAATTACTACCATGGTCTGTTACACACATTTGTTGTTTTAGGATTTAAAACTATTTTATGAATAAGTATTTGCAGATGCATATTTGCTCATACATTCTTCACATGGTTAAGCCAAGGATGTAGGACGTGTCATAGGACAAACACGATCTTTTTTTCGTGATAGAAGTATCAATTACATAGTTGTGACAGTGATTTGAAATCTGCTGATGTATGACCGCAAAAATTATTTCACAAGAAAGCACCACTCTTGCTTAGATGCGTTTATAATAAATGGGAATTTTTGGTTCAGGTAATTTGTACTACTGAGTAGGAGTGAGATAGGAGATAGTCCTTTAGTGCTGGCTTAAACAATTTATATGAGGATTCAAACTTTTGATGGTCAGGAGAATTTTATTGAATATCTTAATTCTAGTATAGTAATCTGCCTTTTGATATTTGCTGAGGTTAGTGTTTGGTACATGAAGGTTATATTTGTATATTGTACTTATTTTATGGATACTAGAGCAACGCGCTCCTTTCGGAGCGTTTTCTCTAAAATAAAAAATCGATCATAAAGTCAGTTTTCGTAATCGTAATATCTCGAATGGGTAGTATGACTTGAATGAGTAGTAATATTAGTATCAGTTTAACTTGTTGGTATACCAACACAACAATGTCGAGTAAAAAATGACGTAACATTGTTTGATGACGTAATTGTTTGGCGACGATCTCTATATTTATATTTCCATACAAATGTAGTTTTGACATTAATAATTTATTAATTGTGAGATCAGATGCTTAGCAAGATCTTAAGAAATTTAACCAATAATGATTTTTTTATTAAGTGCTTAATTCATTATCATTTGCCTTCATTAATGGTTTAAACTCTTTTATAGAATTATTTCCATTCTTCCCTATTTTCCAGTCTGTTTTACTTTGTTGTTTGACCCTTATATCTGTTCATTGTAATACGTAATTTTAAGGTATTTAATAATTTTATGTCTCGAGTATTTTGCAATGTTACTTGTAGCTTTTATCTTTTCACTCGAGCTCTAAATATTCTTTTCTCAGGTTTGAATCTTCCTTTGCTACGTTTTGTCATTTTGTCAAGTTGCGTTTAACTGTGCACTGCACATGTCCCAGCGGCCAGCGATGTTGATTTTTTGTTGCTTTTAACATAATATAAGAAAAAATACGGGTTATTTATTGATGCTTACAGGATGTCTATACATTTGTTCCTGCACATATAATTTGTATTGAGTGTAATTGGTCCAGACGTGCCTTGCATATTCTGAATATTACCTCCTAATATTACCATATGTCTGGTATTTTTTTTACCCACACAACACTTCATACATATGCATTAAATTACGTCATCGTAAACCCCTCCTCTTCATATGTTTATGTATATCTTGTCCGCGGTTAAAAGTTTGCATTCTGATCGCTGGTTGGATATTTGCCAATGAAACAGACTCCACCTCTTTAAAGTCTTCTTCAGGCTTTTTCTCTTGTCTATGCCAAAGTCGAGGGAGAGAGGTTGTCTACCTTTTCGTGACGAAGGCTCAGTTAGTTAGCATCTGAGTACCGACATACCTTATCGGCTCTAGTTCATTTCGGTTAATAGGCACAGGTGTCTAAGACACTGGCCAGTGCCAGTGGCACGAGGCACACTCAGAATTCAGTGTCATTTGGTGCCAGAGTCCACGCGTGTGTGTGTGTATGCATGATTGATCTTAATATTATCGTGATTTGACAGGCCTGTGTTTTATATTATTTACTGAATTTAATAGGAACCTTTAAGACTTTAGCTTATAATATTTTAGAATTAAAGATGGTTGTATTCTGGGTTGTTGCGCCGTGTAGAAACTGACCGGGCGTAACAACCCAGCAGACAGCCATCTTGAGCCCCACCGCCGTGATTGTTTTTCGGACAGGGACCAGTGACAGCCTCTTGTGGGTCCAATTTCCATAAAGAGTGGGGAATTTTATAATCAGTTGACGGAATACGTATTAGGATTATTCTCCTTGAAGTTAGTTTGTTTTATTACATTGGACTCTAAAACAATTAAGGGTTATTTCCTAAACTTTTATAATGAAATATGAACTAAAGTTAATAATTATACAGTTTAGATATTTATTTTGAGCATGATTTACACTATTACAGATTTCGGATGCTTTAAATTTCTCCTGTATAACCTTATAATTTTGCATCATAGCCATCTTTTATGTGTCACTATGCAACAACATGTTTCGTGCAGAATTTGTAGATGTGTTTATGACTATTTCTGGACCAAAAATTTTACTCGCATTGCTGGAAAAAAATATTTTTTATTACCATGACACTGATCGCTAAATACACGTTTAGCGCGATTTCATGTCATACAGCCAGAAGATTACTGTAAGAAAATCACATATTTTCATACATCTACGATCATTACACAGAGTCTCACATTAAGTGACGGTAGAAAGTCGCCCAGCCACCATGATCGTGTAATTGATGGTAGAAAATTTAAAAACATAAAAGACCTGCAGTGGCAAGATGTTTGTAACATGTTCATTGAATACCTTTCAGTTGCTTTCAAAGATAATAATGGTAACAGATAACGCAGCGGTATTACCATTACCTTGTCTTTCCTTACAACAAGGAATGTACGCCAAAATCTACTTCATTTCGCGTTAGAGCCCAAGTGCAGGCTTTTATGAATACGGTATTGAAACTTAGTGTACCATAAATGCACTTCCTTAACAGTTGAGTAGCTACGAACGTTTCAGGGAAGACTGTCATGGAATCATTTTAAACTTCCAGCTAATGACATATGAGATCGGATCTTAGATGGGATAATATTACACCGCTGTTATTGCAGGAAACCGCCCTGTGATTTCTAAGATTTTCCGATGAATTATATAGAACAGCTAGCATGTGTGACAAATATTATCCAATCAGTGAGATGAGAGAAAGGTGTCCTATTTTGAGGTCAGAATCGTTTCTTTGTGGCACCTCAATGTAACACAGAATGGAACACGTAAAGAAGCCACTGATATTACACTTTATAACATGACCGTTGACAAATTTCTTTTCTCGCTTTAAGAACAAGTAAACATCTGTTTTCATTCAATTTTAAAGAAACAGCTCTTATTAGCATTTCGTAAGGTATTTGTCCATAGCCATAAATCGGTTTAGATTTCAATGGGGCTTGAATAAAATAATTTGATGGTGACATTAGTTTTCTCTTTGAGCCAACAAAATTAATTGTCGTGTGTCACTTATTCACGATCATAAAAGACAAATGACTACGCCTTTGCTTGTCAGTACACTCCCTGAAGAAATTATCGTGAAATTCCAAGGTCTGGAGGTGGAAACGTTATGGCGGTTAGAGGTAACACGGCAGTTAAAAGATTATTTATAATCTTTGAGAACTGACTAACGATGAACACAAACAATATCGTATCATTGTGCGCTGAAAGTTGATGATTGTGATGTGCCAATACCTTCAAGGAAAGTGGTGTTCATTGCAGCTTTCAAAGATGAAGGCCTTGTTGTTTGCAACAGTCAATAGTCCATAAAAATCATACTTTCTTTCCTTATCTACCTCGCTGAAAGAATATGAGTCCAGCCATTCCAGCGTTTGTTTTAATAGCTGACATGTATATAAGGTGTAACGTTTTTAATTTTGAGAGCCGGGGTGACTGATCTACAGATTGAACAACCGTGGTTCGATTCCGCGATATAACATTTTTTCTCTTAGCCACAATGTCCTGGCGAGCTCTGTAGTCCACCCAGGTTCCTATCCAGAGGATTCTTGCATTGGGAATAAAGCGGCCTGGACGTGATGCTAAAATTTTGCGTCAATTTCGTGTCGAGGATACTAAAACGCGATAAGCCTATATACCCACTTATCCATACATGTGTATGGAATGTCAAGGGATGTCTAGAAATTGTAAGAGTTTTGTTGGTTGCCAAGAAATGAAAGTTCAAAGTGACTGACGCAGTTTTAAAGTATGCCCGCAGTTGGAACATAAAAGGTAACGAACTTCTTGCATGTTTTCGTTAAAGGAAACATTCCGTAGAATGCCGCAAACAAAGATGAAATCTTTTGACAGCATTGAAAAGATGAGAAAATATAATAAATATGAACCTTCCCTTACTTGCACTGTGTTTGAATTTTCTATTGAGTATAGACCTTTTCACGTAGGCCTAAATAAAATCTCAGCTTTCGAAATTACTTCTGGCGTGCATAGTTGCATTTCAGTTCACAAGTAGGCCTAAATAAAATCTCAGATTTCGCAATTACTTCTGGCGTGCATAGTTGTATTTCAGTTCACACCAGAGATTCAGTAATGATACAGATAAAGAATTATTTTCTTTATATATTATATTCATCACGTCCGTATTAGTAGACGTAGTGCTTATTGGTGAAGATGTTGACATAAAGTGCACTATAAAATCTCGTAAGATATAATAACTCTTAACCAGTGGGAGGTCTTCATGCTTTGTAGTCTGCGACCGGCCACATGTCGAGTCAGACGTAAAATAACGAATTGTAAAATTACAATTTTTATTCTTCATAGCTTATGAAAATATAGGTCACATTCTATTCTAGACTACCCATAGTTGGGACACTAATTTGTACAGTAAGGATATTTGGCTGCCTGCACAGCTTTTTCCTCTACGCGCGACTACTGCATCAGATGGCGTATTTTCTAAACCTAACGACACAGCCGCCAAATATCCTCACTGTAAGTTTGTAATAGTTTAAGGAAAAAAATAAAGAAACCGGACATTCTCCACGTATAAGCGAATTTGTACACGTGGAGTGTTTATCTATCAAGTTTTGACTTTAGACCTGGGTAAAGATGTACTTACTCTGAGGGTTGAAGTTGGCCGCTGGGTCCGGAAGGGCATACTGTGACGGGAACGCTGACTGTAAGGACATGGAGTTGAAGGCGTTTAGCTGTTGGCTGTTAAGCTGTTTCCGTAGACGCGCCCGTCGGTTGCTGAACCACACCTGGACTCGAGCTTCGGTCAGTTTCGTTCTGTGAAGAGAGAAAAATGGCGGTCAGGGAAACTTTGTCGCATTCTCGGAAAGTAGGCAACAGTTATTCTATTCCTTCATCAGTCTCGTTATTCATCAGCCAGCCATTGGTATTTGTTTTCTTTCTGATAATGTCTTGTGTAATTCTATGAATCAGAATCCTTGAGAACCTGAAATAGCTCAGGTATTCGAGAAATTCCCGTTCTTGTTGTACACGAAGGTTTGTTACCGCGTTCACTCCCATGGTCTCCGCCCTGAGCCAGATCTTTTGGTCCACACCCTTACATAATATTCAAAATCTATTCCGCCATCATACATGTTTTTCCCTTCACTTTTTGGTTTAAAATTCTTTATGTATTCTCATTTCTCCCATGCATGCTACATGCCCGCATATCTCATCCTCTTTGATTTTAACAACTTAGTGGAGAGTATAAATTATGTAGCCCGTCATTATGCAATGTTTATCACTCCCCTGTTACTTCATCGCAGTTACAGAAGTCATCCTCTGCACCCTGATTTTCCATCGATGATCTATGTTTCTCCCTTATTTGCAAGACTCAATACCAAACCCATGCAAAGCCAGAACCAAATCGTCTTGTGTAGTTTAGAGCAGTGGTATTCAGCCTTTTTTGTTCGCGTACCCCCAGATATAATTTCTCATCAACTTTGTACCCCCAAAGTTGTTGGTGTATAATTCAAGTTATACGTAGTATATAATCTACATCTAAAATAAATTAAATAAACTACATTACTGATTATTCAGTGTTTATCATAAAATAACATATTTTTTAAATTTCACGTACCCCCTAAAATGTCTTCGCGTACCCCCGGTGGTACGCGTACCCAAGGTTGAATACCACTGGTATAGAGTATTATTTTACTGTTTGGAAGTTCGAATTTAAAAATTGAAGATTACTTGGGCTGTTACAAGGGAGTGGACATAAAACCATCAGGTCGGAACTGAGGGCAGCGAACTCACACTTATGAAGCGACACTTCGTGTGGATCACTTTACGGCCATATTGTCCCTCCCTTCACAGCAGCCAGTCACTTGGGAAATAAAAAAATAAACTTTACAATAGTTCAAGTACGTTCTCCAGAGCTATTCAGTTTTGCTTGAGTTTCTAAAGTAGACTTGTGAATCAGCGGTTTCCAAACACTTGCGGCTACTTGTTCCTGCAGCTTTTCAGTTCAAAAGAATTCACAGCATTAGAAGGGTTTGGTGCAACAAGGTTTTATCTCCATGCTTATAAACTTCTAAAAACTGAGCAACTTATTAAAATTTGTTTTTGAAGTTGCAATCACACAATTCTATTTGAAATATTTTCCGATGTGTGAATATTTATTGTAAGTGGAGTGCAGGGAAAAATTGTTGACGCTGAGTAATGCAATGCTGTGATCAGCTTTATTAACAACACTATATATTTCTGTGATATATGAACATCAAGGCGAATAATATATGTAAAGCGGTAAAGAATGGATTTGGAAAATATTTATACTCATTTGTAGTGCGTATTTCAGCTTAAATTTACCGCAAACTAAAATGAATTTCTAGGCTATGTCTGAATTTATATTTTTAAACCAAATTATGAACTATTCGTAGCGTTTTTGAAGCTACGCCCTTTTTGCACCAAGCTATTCAATTGCCAATAAGTTACATAATATAACAGATAGTTTACGTTTTCTGCCATCTTGTTTATTCATCATATTCTGTGATCTGAGCGTATTCATTCAAGTCTGTCAAATTTGTACACTTCTTTAGTCCTTTGTTCAGTTTCTCGTTTCTGTGTTGGTTAGTTTACAACGGCAACACCCTTGAGATTTACTTCACATTGAATACCCCTGAGAGTTAATTCAGCATTGTGGCCAACTGCAATTTCAGACTTTCTGGTTGGTGTCCGTCAAGCTGTGCTGCCAACGTATGAATTTAAAACACGGTATGTTTGGAGATAAAAGTACCTTATGTTTTTAACACAGTTTCGTCGCTTCAAAACAGCAGTAAATATCGCGTTATTGCCTCCACCCTCTGGCAATCCATTTGTGCCTAAGTATGAAACAATTATTTCTGTTGCCTTAGAATTTGATTTGTTGTCACAGACGCAAATATATTTGAAGATTTCCGTTTTCTGGGTTGTTGCGCTGAGTAGTCTGGTCGATATTAACCAACGTTTCGGAGGTCATACTGCCTCCGTCATCAGGGCGATGAATTAGTATGAAGATTTCCGTCTTCTGGGTTGTTGCGCTGTGTAGTCTGGTCGATGTTTACCAACGTTTCGGAGGTCATACTGCCTCCGTCATCAGGGCGATGAATTAGTATGAAGATTTCCGTCTTCTGGGTTGTTGCGCTGTGTAGTCTGGTCGATGTTTAC